ACCCCTTAATCTATAGGAGTCCTTTCTAATGTTGAATTACCACCTAACCATGCTAAACTAATGAACTTTAGCATGATATGTAAGTGTGTGTGACGTTCAAACTTTGAATTCCTTTAATTACAATTATTGTCCACTTGCCATGTTTGTGTCATTTTTTATTGGCCCAATCATTGACTGAGCCCAAAGCCCAACCACCAAGCCCAAGCCAGTGGCCAATCATAAAAGCTCAGGGCCGTCTGACCCAAGTCTAGGTCAGGTCAAACATTGGTTTTTTTTTTTTTTTTTCAAAGTTTGCAAGGATGAGGGGAGGTGTCATTAGGGTTCGAACCTGAGACCACTGACCTACATGCAAATGCTCTTACCATTGTGCTATTGAAAATTAATGTGCACACTAGTGTTTCCAAAGGGGGCTGATTATATGTAGACATAAAGGTTTAGCAATTACAAGCTGAGTCAGAACACAAGAACAGAAGGTAAACCTTCTAAATTATAAGGCAGCAGATACTCTGTCCATTTCATTTGATGAGACTTTTTACTTCTTTTCCTTTTGCTTCTAAGAGGATTTAAAACCTAAACATACCTTTCACTTTACCCTTATACAATCTGAGTTAGGCATGGTCAACAAAATTTCAACAAGGTGACCTCAGGATATAATTAGTACCAAACTTATGTTATACGGTCTATAAATTATATGAATTTCATGACTTTTACACTGCGTCATTAATTTTTGTCTGAGTTTTTTTAGCCCCATTTTTGTTCTAGGGATTTTTTTTTAAAGGTTTAACATGCTCTTAAAAATACATTGATTTCAAATGATTCATTGCATCTAAGTCGTTTCAAATTCAATGATATTAGATTTTCTATAAGTACATTCATAAGAGTTACTCAAAGCATTGTAGGTCAAAAATGAGAATTTGAATCCCAATATGCCTAAGAAGAAGACGCATACGAAAAATGCAGTCAAAAAATTACTAGTTGTAGCAAAAGAATTTGTAAGCCCATGCAGGGCCATGGAGGCATGGACTTTCCCTGACTTTGCACAAAAAAAAATACCAAACACACTCTCCTACTAAACCTTGAAAGAGATGTGTTTTGATTCTTTACCTTATTTACTTCATTTCTTCTCTTCTAATTCACACAAAAGAAAAAAAACAAAGTGACAGCTTACCTCACTCCCTCTTTGTCTCTCATCTTCTTTTTCAATTCTCTCTGCTTCATGATTTCCTCAGAACAGACTTCTTTAATGGCAGTGATCAAGCACAGAAAACTCTTCCCAGCTGCACCAGTTTCCACAAACCAAACTGCCTGTCCAGAATTTTGTGGCCCAGATTGTGCATATGGCTGCTACCCTTATGCAGGTTTCTACATCCCACCACCCCCACCATTTTCTGCAATTGATCAAAATGACCAAAACCACCATATCTCACCATATGTGGTGCTCTTAGTGTCTTTGCTAGCCAGTCTTTTGCTCCTTATTGGCTACTATGTTATTGTGGTAAAGTCTTACACAAGTTTGTGCAGTTACAGAGGCAATGGATCTTCTCTCTCCCAATCTGGCAGCACAGATGAGGAGTTTCTTGCAGAGAACCAAGTAGACCATCCAGTGTGGCTCATCTCCACCGTTGGATTGCAACAGTCAATCATAAATTCAATCACAGTTTGTAAGTACAAGAAAGATGAGGGCTTGATTGAAGGAGCCGAGTGTTCGGTTTGTTTGAATGAGTTTCAGGAAGATGAGACCCTCAGGCTGTTGCCCAAGTGCAGCCATGCTTTTCACGTCTCTTGTATTGATACTTGGTTGAGGTCTCACACGAATTGCCCGCTGTGCCGAGCTAATATTCTGAGGCCTCCAAATTTGGCTTCTATGGACACAAATGAAGAGACCCAAGTGGAAAATTCTGAGAGTGAAATTGAATTGGGTGTGGATAATCAACAGGGATATGATGAGGTTTGTGAAAGCAGAGCTGAAACAGAGGATGAAGGTGAAGAAGAACACCAAGTTGGTATTGAAAATACATCAAAGGAGGCAACAAACTCTAATGGGAATTGCATTCTTGAACTTATAAGGAGGTCCTGGTCTTTTGATTCTTCCTTGGCTGCAAACAAGTTAGTCATCAAATTGAAGAATGCTGAGAAATTGCATTCGGATGTTGCTCGAAAGCGACATTCTTCAATTGGTCAATCTCTACATTTAAGCCCTGTTTTGATGAAGAGGTCTTTGAGACGTAAGTGGAGCATGATTTATATTCTTCCCCAGTAAAGGTTGTGACGTTTGTTTGAGTGTTCGAGGTGAGATGTTTGTACTATAAAATAGAGATTTCTCATGTGCTCTCAATAAGCTGAGGGTGCTTAAGTTCTGCTTCTGTGGCATGCAAAGTGACACATGATTTGAAATTATGAGTTGTGAGGAAAAGAGATTTAAGTCTTTTATTACTGCATATGCAGCATTCAATTGATGTCTGCATAACAATGCTACATGCATATATATACATACTAAACATATTGTACACTAATCTATAACAGGCATGTTGACTTATCCATAAAATATTGAAGATGCTCTCCATAAAATGATTAGTAAAGACGATAGAAGTAGTTTCATTGAGGCTTTCTTGGTGTCGATACAAGCGATATTGGAAGAATACTAGAATCGAACGCATGGCTTCGATGCAGATAAATGCTGTCAAGTCTTGAACTTCGAGCCTCTTGCATAAGTTTATTGATATGCATTTACTTACCATGTTAATGATGTCATCATGCCATTGTTACTCTTATTTTGGTTATGCAGATAAAGTTTTTGATGAACCAATTGCCATGGGATTTGATTTCCCAGGAATCTTTTAGCCCTTTGGCTTGTCCAAATTTTCTAACCCTTCGATTGTTCAATACGGTATTGTAAGGATAGGGTTTGTTAGAAGACAATAATCTAAATTACGCTTAAAATGTCACCTAACGCTTGAAATATTGGTCAGCCTGGTTTGGTGTGGATTGGAGAATAATCGCTGGATAAAGACCATCTTTGCAAGAAAACGAGTTTCTGGGAGAATGCAACTTGGGCAAGTTAGCTCCACTTGACCAGAGTCAGTCGAAGATCTTTTTCTCTTCTCTGATGTAGAAACCTCCTATGTTAGGTCAAAGAAAAAGCAAGTACAACCGAGGGAATGGAATACTGTTGTTGACACAAAGTAGCACTAGACAATTAATGTAACAAATTTACCACCGGATTAGCAACTAAATGAATTGGCTTCACGATACATATAATGCAAGGAATGCTCGAGTTCGAAATCAGAGACGGAGCCACATATAAGTCTGAAATCGCCATAACCCGATGTCTCGAGGATCTCCTTCAAATCTTAAATTCAATATAAAAGTATATGGAATTGTTTGAATCTTCTTAAATGATAATGTTCTGTTGGGTGTGCCTCAAGCAAACAATCTCAAATGCCCATTAGTTTGAATAGTTTCTGCTACCAGAACATCTGCATATCCAAGGTTCCGAGCAGCATCATAATTTCACAAAGCCCAGCTGCAGCCTATTTACTTCTATAAACAGATCGTCCGAATTACTTTTATTTAAAAAATTCATCGGAAAAATTCAACGGATAAAAAGAAGGAAATTTGTTTCTTGATACTAAAGAATAACCAAAGGAAGAAAGGACATTTGTCTTGTTTTGTCGGCTAAGTTCTACACGCAGAGGTAGCCATTGGCAACAGTGTGTAAAGCTAACTTTTTATCTTTTCATTGGCCCCAGTCATTTCTCTTTATACACTCATTATAACGTGCCAAAAACAGAACAACTTTAATTTGAATTGCCATAATTTCATTCACGAAACTTCTTCGCTCTTTTTTCTTTTGGTAAATGAAACTTCTTCGTTTTTGCTCAGAACTTGGACTTAACATGTTTATCAAAAAAACTCTTCATGACTAATCCAATAGCTTTTACTTTCTATCGCAACTTCTTTATTCCCGAAACTTCTTGCTCACAAGGCAACTTCCTACCAAAACGCATTATCTAAAGTGCTCTGGTAGTCAATTAAAAAATATAAAGCAAATAAGATAGGTATAATTCATGTACATTCTATTTGAATGAAAATTAAATTGACCAAAAAAAAATCTCATGTGCATTTGGTGCATGTGGGAATGTTAGAAGAAAAATTGTATGTATAGTTACCCACGCGATTGTGGTTATATGTGGCATACTTGTTTTTGCTATGTGACACTACAATTCAGTTAAAAGTGGGTACGCGTATGAAATAAAACTTAGTCAATGAAGTCAGCCACATGAACAACTCCAATTCAATCCAAGCTCATCGCCCAGTTAGTTTGTCATTGCACATGCACAAGCTAACATCTGGCCCAATAACCCATGAGGATTCTGTAAAAAGGTTTGCTACTCTCACCAAAAATAAGGAATGAACATCCCATTTCGGGACTTCATGTCAATTGAGACACCAACCTTATTCTCTAGGTATTGTCCTTTGTAACTTGTAACAACAACCTTAAAATTAAGAAAACCTTAAAATTTTAAGTTGAGTAAACTGGTTTTATACTTTGATTAATTAGCATCAGATATATTTTTTTTAATTTAGGGTTGGCATCAGACTTCATCCTCCTCTTGGCACATAATCGTCATATATAATCTCTCTCACAACATGTACACGAAACACACATGAAACTCAAATGCATGTCGTGAAAAAGGAATTAATCCATGTGCAAGTTAATCTCAACTAGGAGAAACTTACGATAAGATTCATGCATTATTCAAAGGACTATGAGTAAATATTCGATTGTACAATGAGGGCCCTACCCTTAATTGTACGAATTGGCCACTTTCGGTCCTTCCATAGCTCAAACTGTTGGACTCTCAATGGAACGAATATTCCCCCAGATTTATGTTAAATTATAGCAAATAAGTAATGATAGAGAAAGAAGGCACTTAATATATATTTTCTGTCTATTTTGCTGGTTTTAGGGTTAATGGAAAGATGCTGTGTTGGAGGGATTATTTCAATCATTGTGGCTTCTCTGTAGAGACTTAGATTAGTTCTTTCTCAATACGCAAACATACACCTTCTTAGAACAGAGAAAAAAAGATGAAGAAAAACACAAAATAAAAAGGAAAGAGAGCGAAGAAAAATTGATCCACTGAGAGAAAATAATTCAGCTTTCAGCTAAAACCACCTTCTTGAATTCTGCTCAGCATTTGATTAACAGCTGCTGCTATTTCATCCACTGTATTTAGCAAGCACCCTTCTTCAATCTGTCCCAATTCACAAAAACAAAAAGACATTGGTTTTTCTGTAACTGAAAACCATAGTGAATTTGGTAAGAGAATAATTGCTAGTATATTTTCACTTTTCAGAGAATTTTTCGTTGTAGTACATGAATTGCATCTTTCACATCACACCGACTTTATGCAAAATATACGAAATAGAGATAACACTATTTTGTTATTCCCTATCAATCATAGACTGCAACGTGAAAAAGTTCTTAGCATGGCATGTCGTGATTGGCCGAATATAGTAAAATAGTGCAAAAGTCAAATGAAAAAAATGTGGTGCGCAAATAATATAATAGTAAGAGGTTATAAACTGAATATTAGTCGGTAAAGTTGATTAAAAGTCTTAGATGTCCCTATTTACTCCTTTCATTGTTCTTTAATAAATTTTTTAATTATAATTAAGTTAACCTTTTTCTTTTTCAAATTCCTAAAAGCAGCAAACACATTAAAAGAATAAAAACAGAGTTTGCCAAGTGTGGGATTGCTTAACAATAATTAGACTGAGGAAAGTGGGAATTAATTGTGAAAAGGCAAAGCAATCATTTGAAAAGACTTTTACTGTAAAACTACTGTAAAACCTACCTTGACACTAACAGAGTAGAGGACCATTTCATCAACTGTGGTCACATTCAGGTGAAGAACACTGAGCCTGAGACTTTGAAACCCAGCCACCATCTTCAACAGCTGCCTAGGCCTTTTCTTGGAGAGTATCTTAAGGTTGGCATGGCTATCCACCATGGTCACTTCTATGTCTGCTGCTGCCCACTGGTTGCTGTTGCTCTGAGCCATGTTTGGCTCGTTTGCTTGGAGCCCAGTTGAGTTGTTGTTGCTCTGAGTCGCACGAGTTGAGAATTGTGGGAAGGTGAAGAACTCAGCCAAAGGTTGTTGCTTGCTCGTTTTGTTGCTGTCCATGGACTGCAAAAGCTGCTCTAGCTCCTTCACAAAATTAATGGCACCCCCAATAATTGATGCTTGGTCACCCTGTAACATTTTTTTACCACATGAATTTTGGTCAGTCCAAAAAACATTCAATTTATTGGTTAGAAACCCAATTATGAATTTGATTTTTGTGATAAAAAAATAATCAAACTGACCCTTTGAGCATAAGACTGTGGCATCAATGATCTGAGGACAGCAAGGTACTCATTCATTTGCTTGCGCCGGTTGCGCTCCACAACAATGTGAGTCATCCTCTGGTTCTCAATTTCCTCCTTGTTCTTGCTACTTCTGGTACGACGTCGTTTACGCCGGTTTGTCGTTGTTGTTGTTGGCGGTGGTGGTGGTGGTGGTGGTGGTGTTTCCATGGCAGAGAGGTGTCCTGGAGGGACAGATTGGTCTGCTGTGCAGGCCTCAGGTGAGGAATTGGGATCCCATTCTTTCACATTTTGCAAAAGTGAAGGAGATGAGGAGCAATAGTCCCAATTTTCATTGAGAAAATGTTGCTCTATGTGGTTGTTTTGACCCTCTTGTGAGATAAAGTCACATCCCCAAGAAGCTCCTCCTCCATTGAAAGAGTAGAAATCTTTGCAACCAAAGCCAAATGGATACTCTTTTGGGTAAACCACAGCTTGTAATGCCATGCTTTTCCCCTGCAAAATCACTTTTTCTAACAGCAGCTCTGTTTTAGTTGGTATATTGAATTTTCAGAGCTCTTTCAGATAGTGTGTGAGGAGCTATTGTGTGGCTCTGAAAGGAAGGGAGGGTTTAGGGTGAGAAGCTTTTTTGCTCTAAAAGAAAACCCAAATCAGAGAAATTGTATTAGGCTTCAAGTCCAAAGCACTACACCCAAAAGACCAAGTAACAAACTCGCCCTTTTATCGTCCCCAAATAAGAAAGCCTGGTTCCTTTTAATGAGCCTTTAGCATAACAAACAAAAAGCTACATTGTGTTGCACGTGAGATTTCATGTAGACCAGTCACTAGATCAAAGATTATAGAGAGATTCTCTTTTGGTTCTCCCAAAGATAGCAATAATATACTAGTCGACTAAGCAAATGATAGTAACGTTATTTTTACTCTATTTATTGATCGTATTATTGATAACATCTTTTTTACAATGATGCGATTCGCTTGTAAGAACACTACTATAGTCAATCTTCTACACAAGTATCGATAATTTGTAATCGTTAATGCATCGTGAACTTCACATACATCAACAAATTACTAGTAACACTACTCTCACTTGCATAAAAGATAACCATTGTGTAACACATGGAGAAATAGTTTTATTCAACAAATTAACTCTTAAACACCTATAATCGGCCGACTATTAATTAATTAAAATTGTAGGTAGATAATCCAATAGTGGGACCCTTTGGAGGAGACATTTCCTTGGTGTGGGCCCAAGAGCATATCCCAATGTCATGAACAGTACCATTTTAACTGTGAGGACGGTCATCTCCCTGTTCATCCCACCATTATGGTATGCTAATGGAAGGGCCAATTTGGTCTTTTCAACAGATCAGTGTTTACTCTCTTTCATAATTTTCTGATTTGGGGAGGTGACCATTAGTTTCATTTGGCAATAATACGGTCGGGACACTTGGACATAGAAAAAGAGAAAGATGACGAAAAGCTGGTGGATGTCTCAGAGATTCTGATGAAGATCTATGAACAGAGAGAGAAAGTGAGAGACAGAAAAAAGAGAGAAGAAAACAAGACACACCAGCTTCGTTCAGAGGAAAGCCATGTGACCTCACAAACGGCCACTCTGTAATCATCTCCGATGAGGACTTATTATGTGTCCATCTCCCTTTCCCAAGACCCTCTGCACCACTTTACTGTTTTCCTTTGTTTCCCTGTGAATTTTTTTCTCTTATATAATACAATGGTGTTAGTGTGTTACTTCTACCAATAAGTTTTTTGTAGGAACGATATAACACATTCAATCTTTGAGGGCTGGGGGTTGGATTTACTTGTTATCTTGTAAAAAATTACAAAAACAGCATTATTGATCCCTTTATCAGTCTGACCAACACGTTTTTTAGACAAAAATAGAATTTATTAATAACCAAAGAATATTGCAACTCTTGTAAAAAATTACAAAAACAACAATAGAGTTACGATTCCGTGCATTATTGATCCCTTTATCAGTCTGACCAACACGTTTTTTAGACAAAAATAGAATTTATTAATAACCAAAGAATATTGCAAACAAAGTAATCGATATGTTAACAGTGGCCTCGTTAAAATTTTCTTCTCGTTAAAATTTTCTTAAAGAAAGAGTACCACACATGCTACAAACTAACAAAAGAGTCAAAATCAAGAATACAAAATAGGACAAACCATCTCTAGAATAATTATACCCAACAAGTTAAATGTTATTTTTTGATGTAGAACTCGGTAGATCCATTCTTTGCTTACATAGTCGTGAACTCAATATCACTTGGATTAGCATATGTCACATGGACATCAAATAAGAATTTGTTTTAAATAGAACCCTAACCTTCGAGAGACGGAGAGATTATTTCTAGAAAAAAAGAAGAAGAAAAAAACAGCTGTTCATATATGTACAAAATGATCGATTGTTACGTCCAAAAAGAGCAACGAACATGATAGGCAAATGAACGAATGAGCCAATACTATAACAATTTCAAACCTCATGGTTGTTTTTACTAATTTTTAAAAGATATGGACCAAATTACTTCACACTCCAAACTAGGAGGGTGCAAAATATAATTAGTCATATGTTTTAATACTAATGAAACCCAATTTCAATAAGACATTCTCTAGGGCTTCTCTTGTGTCCCTTCCATGGAATTTTGCTAACACCATGGTACTATTTTAATTTTGTTTCCCATTTTAATATTGCTGCATTATTGAATTGTTTTTCGAGTTATTCCATTCATTGGTTTTAATTACAATTTTACCGTCCTTCGATCTATTAAAAAAATGAGCAAAATCCATACCAACCTGGCATTCCCTTGAATGGATCACGACTAGTTGTAGTTCATAAGATTCGACGACCAATTAAGTCTTGAATAGAATGCAACTTGGTTGGTGTCATTTTGTTTTTTTTTGTAAACTCAGTGTTTTCTTCCATAATTAAGATCACTTTGAAAAACAATATACCTAGCTATTTTAGAGTATTGTTGATCTGATATCTACTAAATTATCAGTTGAGTAAGGATTGCTACCAACTTATTGTATGAAGCATCACATTAAGTTTTTCCTCTTTTTTTTGTTCTCTTTTCTTTTCACATTAGGATTGCTACCAGCTGATGTGGTAGTACAGTATCATTCTATAATTTCTCCTCTTTTCAAGTAATTTTAAGTGATTTTGAGAATGTCGACCTATACTTGAAATATTGTTTTCGATTCTCTCTTCGGTTATCGCATTTCTATCATTAATAAAAAGACTACTTCATTAACTCTTTATTTATCCAAGCATACCTATTTGATCCTCCTAATCAGTAGGAATAGATCTGAATCGAAGGGTTTCAGAAATCTAAACAGAGGGCTATTGTGAAATAGCACGCCAACACTACAACCCTACCTTTTCATGTCTAACTATATATTAGGTTTTGTCAATTGTGGAATGCAGTGGAAACCTATAGAGGGTCCTTATTAGCACAACTCATCACCTAATAAAACACTGATTTTAATCCAGATTGTGTCTATTATCATAATCTGTTCCCTAATGGCATGTGCTTCATGCGCGAAGTACGCTTAGCAGAACCTTTTAGCTTACGCAAGTTGGCACAATGTACAAAATAGGTTTATATATTAATTGACTCTCTGTGGTGTTTTAATCACAACTTTCTTGGCCAGATATCTGGTTTATTAAATTCTAAAACCTATTAGAATAGTTGTTTGTTGACTTGTTCATGAAACCATGGAATTGTGACCACAAATTCTGGGAACCTGCTAATTGTTCTTTTTCCAGCTTTGGGTTTTATTTTCTGATTCCAGCAATATTAGTTGGATGAATATATATAGAGAGAGAGCTTTAGTTGAGGGATCCATCAAATAAACTTATTTAAATGACACCCTTATGGGGCCCATTCCGAATTGTATTTCACTAATCTAGACCCTCTATTTTATAGATATTCATTCAAAAGTTATCTATACAAAAAATCACTTCAATCCGATATCATTTAACCACTCAATTAAATAATTGTAATTTTAGTGCGTTCTTGAAGCATCGTGTTCATCGGATTTGTTGGACACAAGACAACTAGATGTTGAAACGGTTTCCAATTTGTCTCATTTTTTGCAAAGATGATCTAGAGTGATATCAACTAATTAATTTAAGTTCATTTATATACAGGGTTAAAATTTCAGTCTGTATTACGACTTAAATAAATCTACATCATCCTCTTCAATATGATTTACACGGGAACTTTTTTTTTTTCTTACCAAAATATATTGGATACTTGCAACATGTAAGACTCAGTGATCAACGACTCATATACTCACTTACTGATCATGCTGTATTTAGCAAATTTCTTTACCAAATTTTGAAATCGTCTTTTTTCTATGATTGTTTTCTATGTGGCTGAGCATATACTTATTTGTCAAAGCATCTGCCATCAAATTTACTTCACGTAAGGTTTTGTTTTGCCATTGGAGCGTTTCCCTCCAATAATTTTTACTTTTTAAAGTTTGCCAAATGTCAAACTCATCTTCGATCTTGTGTGATCTATGCATTCCAAAGGCCGAACGTGTCTACAATTGATCAGATGACATGGACTAAGATTGTTCCGGAAAGATACGTAAAGAAGTTGTTTATGATCGTGTTTGGGAGTGCCTTTTCACACCAACTTAAAAACTATTTTAACTTAAAAAGGGTTTTCCCTAGTGTTTGGTTAAAATAGACAGTGATCATGTGAAGGATTTCATCCTCTACAAGCTCTGGTTAGCTGTATATCATCAATAAATCTAGTCTAGATAGGCTGGCCTATCTACACTTGTTTTCCAATTCATCTAAACAAATTTCTGATTGCTAAAAAAATGAAGACAGTCCATGGAATGAATTTACAAGTTGGAGGTAAGATAATCTGCAAAATCTTGAAAACTAAGTATCAATTTAAAGTACCTTATACATTATCGATATTTTATTGAGAATGTAAGTTGATATTGTCGATAAAATATCGAAAATGTACAAAATACTACTCGCAACCAACCAATCGCTCTCCTTAAAAATAATTACGCGTAAAATGGATTAATTTGAGGTCTAAATGTACCAAATGTTGCTTGTTTATTATTTGTAGGGCAAACAGACTCACAAGCGTACGTACCAAATGTCTCTGGTCCCGGGGATCTGATTTTAGGCCTAGCTGGATCAAAGGTAAATTCATTCTAGTTTGACCAATTCCAGATAAAGTTGTTTGTTTATTATGCCAAGCATGAGGTGCTCATCCAACGAATATTGGCCTAGTGTGACCAAACAAAAGGGGATAGAAACAAGAATCATCTCCTCACTTACCTATCTATAGACTTCTATCCTATATATATATATACATAATAAGAAAAATTAAATGACGTCCATTTTTCATTTCAATACTAGTTATGATTGCATGTACAACATAAATTATTTGTAACATTATGTACCTATATATTTTCATATATATATCTTTATAATCATTTTACTATAATGCACCTGCAATATTCACTCTTGAACTTTTATAGTTTTAAGCGAAAGAAGTAACGAAGTACACAATGTCGGTGGTCGAAAGTACTTACATACAAACGGGTGCATAAAACTTCTCTCATGATATACTCACGAAAATAATACCAACTTTCGTATACTCATGCAATGGCATTGTCCATGCCATGTCAGAATGGAACTTTTAGAAGAGTACCTCATACACACCCGTTCCATTGCATTGCAAGAA